TCATGTTCTAGCTTTTATTTATTGCATATTCTGTGTTGGCGGCTCGATTTGAATACAATCACAAGCATGCTGAGAAATAAGCAAATCTTGGAATCTCAGGTGGGCTTTGAACCCGCGGTTACCTTTACCGAGAACTCGCGTACTACCCACTCCTTTTTTCTGCGAAAACCTCGATGTGGTGGGTAGCATGGGGGCCCTCGGTAAGGGTAACCGCGAGTTCGAGGCCCACCTAGAGTTTCGAGATTTGCTTATTTCTTGGCACCTTGCAGTGTACTCAGGTCGCAGTCTTTATATTACTCCTAAATATTCAGCAGATCAACTAGGCACTGAAATAGCCATTGCCATATCTGGATATACGGCAAGATCAATGGTGTAGAATGGCAATGCAAAGTGCATAAAAATTCGACGGCTGTTCGCTTCGGCTCTCATAAACGCCCAACGGAACTGCTTGAGTCCAAAAGCTCCTCCACGGGGTGCAGAAAATAATCTCTTTCTTTTTAAAAGAAAAGAAAGCAACCTACGACTTCTCGGAGTTATTTTCGTGTGATTGAACACATATTTAGTCGACCGTTATGATTCGACGCTGACATGTGTGTTTTTCATAATTCACGACATAACGAAAATAAGGTTGTCTTGGACTTCTTGAAAACAAGCTGCTCCGAGTAAGCATCGCTTCTTGCCATTCCAAACGACATCGAGGAAATCCGTCGTTCATTTCCGATGGTAAGCTATGAAATGGATCCGAATTCAATGTAGAAAACTTCTTTGGAAGGTTACGATGAGTAGTAATAGAGAATGAAGAAATACACCCTCAAAGTACCAAGGAAATAGTAAAATACCACTTGTAACTTCTCAATTCTTTCAGAACTTTCGTGTTCATCGTTACGGAAAGAAATTCATCAATCCGCAATGAAGAGAATTCAACTAGTAACATCGCGCTACTTCTGAAGATCGTAAAAAATGGTTGGATAGAAATACTGGAAAATTGTTACTTTATACGTACAACTGGGCGCATGTGGCGCAGTGGTTGTGGCTGGAGAGGCTTTGCAATACGCACATGGAATCGGTCCGCGCCCTTAGCTCACCAAGCCATCCATCTCCCCGCGGTCGGCAAATTGGAAAATTGGAACCAGACTTGTCTGGAAGGATGGCTGCACTGGCTCGATACATCGGTTACTGCGGGTTAATGTAATGGCCAAAGATGCTTCAGTCATCTCCAAACGATGCTTAGTGGAGTCGCAAGCATGGCGCGTCGCTCAGGGATTGATCAAAGCCGAGGGCTTTATCCTTTTTGAATACAACTGGTTGGAATAGGACATTAATTAAGGAGACAATTTATCCTCAAGTGCAAAAGCAGGCAGCAAGAAAGTTGATTTAATTTAAATTACAAATATATTTAATGTGGGAAACTACTTTAGAAAAAAATTTTGAAAAATCGGACAATATTAGCGATTGAAATCGCGAGGAAGTAATGCTGCCGAAGTGTCTTCAGTTCGCTTCGATGAGCTAATCGATCGTAGGAACAGTGCAGGTTGGCGCAACGTTGTGGGCGTTCTGCATAGAAAGTTGCGCTTCTTGCATGAGACAACTCGGCCTTTCATATGGACGAGTTCTCTCTTGGCATGGCATTTGCCATAATGGGAGTCCTCTGTCTGTACTCATATTCAACATAATCGTAATTATATGGAAAACATTGATCTGATGTGGAATTTCTGCTACTACAAGAACCAACAGAGCTCTTGAATTGACAAAAGTACAAAGAGAGGATTGTCAAACTACGGGATTGCGGGTTGACAGCGAATGACGACGGTGGGTTTCATAGAGGTTTATCGAGGTTTTACACAACACCTGTGGCATGTGCCGAAACACAAGAGGTCATTCGTTCGCATGTGACTTCTTGAGTTGTTACGAATGTGATGATGAACGGATAGAATTAACTACTCGACTGAGTGGCTACAAATTGCCAGAACTAAACTCAAATTGATGGTTTTCTCAGTGCTAACAAACCAATCGAATAGCTGATTTAACCTTTACAAAGAGTTGAAGGCAACTGATTACAATAAGCAATAAGAACTTAAGCCTTCGGAGTTTAAAATCGGTGTATAAGACTTTTTCTTTACTGCTATGTAGCTGTAATAAAGGTTTTTATGACAGCTGCCAGTTGCAATGTATCACATCGCTTGGTTGAATTATGCGACATGAAACTGGGACCGAAAGAAAACATTTGCTCCTTCAGTGATGAAAACAGGTCAAGTACACTGGTCTGTCATGTTCAGCACTGAATGCTTCTAACCAGATCATGGTAATACCCAAGAGGCCACAAATGGACATTACTTCCCGCATTCGTCTTCATTCATTTCCTACATCAGGCTCGTAAAATAGATTGCAAGGTTGAGCAAAAACAAAACACAGCAACAGCTAAAGTAAGTCTCAACGCGCAAACAAGTTGTTAAAAATAATACTTAGATATGTGTCCTTTTTATTGATAAGCTAACGGGAGGTTTATAAAAGAAAACATTTTTCGGCTAACGTCACGCCTTCACCCTCTTCAGAGCTTTGAAGTTCTTTTTCATCAACCTCATGTTAGCTTATTAGTGAAAAGATGCCTATTTATTAGCCACCTGGAGGTTCATGGAAATCGTTCCTTGAAAAACCTGGATACTTAGACGATCTGTGTACATATATCCTGAAGATCGCACGGATTCTTCAATTTGTGTAGTTCTCTTGAAACCATCAACTACTGAGGTGGTCGACCTCGAACGTGATTTGGCTACAACTTTCCTCGTTGAGAATTGGAACGACGGTCCACTTCAGAAACTTGGGGTGGCGTGATTATGGCGATCTTATGTCCTCACCACAAATAGTTGACGGAATTTGTGGGTTGAAGGGAAGTTTGCCGTCTTGCGACTCGAATTCGTTCACTACGGCAGCGACACCGGGACGAGAGAGAATCGTGCGATTTTTCGACAGACTGCCTAAGAGACTATGTATAAACAAGCCATATGTGTTACATGTTTGAATATAATAGAGTAAACAGGGACATTTTCATTGCACGCGCTATGGAATCCAACGATTTGGTAGCAATCATGCAGAAACCAAATGCCGCTGCAGATTCCTTGGCATGATGGTCGAAACGAACTCGTTGTGGACAGAGAACAGTGTTCGATCTACTCCACTTGACAAAATGTCTAGTAAGTCGTCTCGTTGTGACCCAACACGAATGAAACACCTATGACTTACGAGAGAAGAGAGATTTGGAAGCTTCCACATCAGACAGGAGCAACAGTGGAACCGTCATGCATTGTGTTTGTATTTCGCATATTACCGTGCTATGAAAAAAGGAAAGGGGTAAATAAAAGTTAAGAGATTCCTATTGTAATTTTAACTTATTATTTACTGTCTACTCTCTTTAACGGCAGGGTATATTGCGAAATATAACTTTAATGACGCTGAGATATTTGCAAAACTTCGGACCGCCAGTGTCTGCGGTGGGGAACGAATGCAATATTGTCCTTTCCGGGGAGTAACGCATTCACTACCACACCATATGGGTCCTTCTTTTCGCCTGTCTTTCAGCTAGTTCTATCGATGACTTGCCATCAGCAATTACCCGTCAGCGGGATTGATCTGGGGAGCCGAAATCGGGATTGTACCCAGTCAAGCTGAGGCTATAGTTATAATCGCAATTTTAACTTATTATTTATTGCCCACTCTCGTTTGGGCTCCCCAGATCAATCCCGTTGACGGGTGAATGCTGATGGTAAGTGATCGATAGAACTAGCTGAGAGACAGGCGAAACGAAGGACCCGCATAGTGTGGTGGTGAACGCGTTACTCCCCGGAAATGACAATAGCGCGTTCGTTCCCCACCGCAGACACCTGCGGTTAGGAGTTTTGCAAATATCTCACCATCAACAGAGTTATATTCCTATCGTAGTTGGATCGAAAGAATAAAGCTGTCACCGCCACTGCCTCTTGTCTACTCATTACCCAATTTATGCATTAGGAAGTAACGATCCGTGGAGCACAAATCGACATTGAGCCCATTTAAGCTGAATCCGCAGTTCCGTAAAAACTATGATTTTTGATAGCACCGATAGAATGAGAACATAGGTGAGCGAACGTTAAGGTGAGTGCCTAGGTTGACGAAATGGATATGTGATAGCACCTGAGATCCTGGTAAGGGTGATCGCGAGCTCGAAGCTCAGCTGAGGCAAAGCGATTTGATTTTTTCTCAGCATCTTTGTGGTAATGAAAAGAATGTTTATTTTGCAATTGGCTGTTGAATAGGCAAGATATTGCCGAGTTTTGAAAACGAGTACTGGCAAAGCACGCGGATCCACGAGTCCGAAATGCGTGCATTAAGCCATGAATATTGTAATGGTGATCTTTGGTTCGACGAACATTTCAAACATCACAATTGAAATGTATTGAAAGATTCGACAGTTCTCTGGAAAACCATCGGATCACATGTAACTATTTTCTGAATGTATCCAATTTACAGCCACTGCAATCTCTGAACATTTCAAAGAAAACCTCGAGCTGTCGTTCCTGCCAGCACACAGCGAGAAGCTCCGAACGCAATAAGAAGGCAAGTAGTTGCGAATTTAAAACAAACGATATGTAAATCGTAAGCGATTCCAATCAACACGTTCGTAACTAGGTTCTTTCATCAAATAAATAAAAAGAGCTGGTACTTCGAACAGCAAAACTCAGCCCGTTACCACAAATCAAGCTAAGTTGTGTTCTCGCAGGTTAAAAATAAGGATCCTATAGAATGCTTGAAATCGTTTCAAAATTGTCAGAGCTTTTACTGATTTTTGTCTTACAGAGTGATTGCTATGGAGATCAGCAGTTGTCCTGGTGACAGAATGTGTTTCGGTTATTGCTGAAATGAAACCGAGCCATATGCCAACCAAAGCGGCAGTAGCAACCAGTACCTCCGACGATCGCGACACGAACGCTTGCTATCAATTAGGCAATGTTGTTGTTAGTGATGGCTCATTGAGCGACTGTAGTTGACGAGAATTTTAACGACTGTGAAATTGTTTGACATCGAATGGCATTGAATGGCATCGAATAGCATCGAGTATCATGATGAACTGCAGCAGCCTCAGAATCACTTTCCTCGGATACCCATGACAAGCGTTCCCATTCTGAATCTTCAATGCACCTTTGAAGCAACTCAATTTCTATATTTGGAGCTTTCAATCTTACATGTGCCTAATGAAACAGCTATGAAAGAAGACATAGGGAAATGATGTAGATGTAACACTAGCATTTTTGGAGAAAAATGTCCCCTGTAGATTTTGGAGGAAAACAGGAACAACGAAAAAAAGGTCAAAACGATGCAAAATGTTTTCGAAATTTTATTAGTGCTTATATTCTGCCTAATATTGCAAGCAAGCTCAACTATGGTCTTATTATTGTATAGAGCGGTAATTTGCCATCTAACACATGCAGCTTGTGTAGCATATTTGTTAGAGATGCTCTGCAATACACACGTCGTTGTTCGATCACGTACCCTGGGTGAACGAACCTTTCCATCTCTTCGGGGAAAACAAATTGGCAACAGAGTTGGCTGGCAGGATGCATTGTCCTGTCCCATCGGTAGGCCACGGTAAGTCATTGTAAAGGGGAGATATGCATCAAGTTACCTCTACGATACTTGATGAAGTCGAATGCATGGCGCATCCCTGAGGAATTGATCAAAGCCAACTACCTCCTCTTTATGCTCGTTCTCTAACGAAGCAGTTCATATCGGAGTTGGCTAGCGTCTTTCTTACAACGGAAGAACCAGACTGGATTTTATCTACTCCCATACTTCATGGTAATGGCATTGAAAAATTGAGCAAAAATATTGCAATTGCACCAAAAGATAGGGATCAGGACAAAAGAATGTGAACGAGTTTTCCCAGAAGTACTAATAAGTTATAAATAAGGACTTTGTGGGCAACTACGACTATTTCCTTGGACTTCATTGTTGAAAAAGCTTCCAGCTCTTACATGGTCACTACGGTAAGAAGGATATTCTCGATGAAGCAGACAGATCAGTTTGTTGGAAGTAAAAGAAGGATAAATCTGAAGACTTGTCGCTCAGAAATTCAGCGTTTAGCCGCCATTTGTGTCTAACCGAATTCGGTTATGCCGTGAAATCTCCAAAAAGAGTGATAGTGCATGGGTTTTTTGACGGAGAACTAGGCTTCTAGCAGCAAAAGTTAGAGCTGAAACATAACAGACAACATTTTCAAAGCTTTTCCAAAGGCTGAAAATTTCTTCCACCGCGCATCGATTCAACGTTGCAGTAAATGCAAGTTCATACGAAAGACTTCTGAAAAACAGAAGCAATCGCTGAAACCCTAGCTACTTTAGTATTGTGCTGTATAAATTGTTGACCAACGGCATTCCTATGACATTATTCCATCAAGAGAACTATGGAGGGTAAACCGGATGAAGTAGGACTATAGTTAATTTTTTCGAACTTCGAAGAACAGAATTTTTGTGAACACTTCAAGAAATACACGCTACCAATGAATGCGAACGGATCAAACAAATGAAGGAAAAAAAAACAAAAGAAAAGAAGGGATTGTGTCATAAAGAAAGGACGAATGGCAATTGATCGCCCTTTGGCACGCACTCTTGTTTCCTATTTCAGAAAAAAAAATAGAAGTTCTGCCCTTTGATGAACTAATAATAATAATGCGCTCGGAAGTGGTCCTCGTTATGAATAAAGCAATTGCTTAAATTAAAGGCATTGTGAGATACGGCGGCTCTGGCTGTCGACTGAGGTCCAGTTGATCAGGCAGGTTTGTTAACACAAGTGCGAGCAGGCCTCATTTTGTGCGGCCGGCCGCCTGGGGCAACGCCCCAATTTTTCGCCTCGCGACGTGTACATTGAAAAACCCTTCCGGAGGGTGGCTTCTTCTTTTTATGAATCACTATATGCAAAGAATGGAATACCAGAGATTATGTCTGATCCAGTATCTGTATTGGATAAACTGTCAATTGAACACAAAAGAATAGAAAATAAATCCTTTACAACGAAAAAGCGAGTTGAAATCAATGCACAGTGTCCATTCACCTCACCCACACATGCATTTATATAAAAACATGCAGCTTTTCAGGTGCTACGATAGTTTATCTACAGAAGATGACTTGTTGAAGCACTCAGGAGATTTCACATCCTTTCGCCCACCAACACATTGCAGTGCTGTAATAGCGATTTCCAAGTGAATACATTTCACATATTAGAGGAAAATGGGTGCCATGAATGTCACTGAGACGGTTAATGAAACCCGTGCGTCTATTTTCTTTTTCATTATTTCTGCTTTCGCAATGCGATATATTGTAGCAAAAATGAGACTTTCACTACAAAACTCGCGTTCGTCCTTTCAGTGAATTTCTAATGAAATGCGGATGAGTCGGCGCATTGGAATGAAAGTTCTTATTCAGTTTAGATGGAATACGAATTCACATAGTGTGTCGCGCCAGAGTAAAAGCATATGGTGAGTACTGCGATAGGTGAGTAATGTCGTAGGAATGGAATTCTGTCGTTATGTTGATGAGATGAAACGGCTACGCTTAAGCGCCTTCCCATTGATTCGACTCCTAGTGAAAAAAACATTCGTTAATCGGCTCTTAATTACACTACTGATGTTGCTTAAAACAGAATTTATCCACATAACGAACATTGTTTTTCACTGAATGAATGCAAAACAGTCCAGTGACTACGCTCAATGTGGTTACAATTTATCAGCGTCACATGAGTAGGATGGAATACCTTCGAAAAACTAAACTCTTGAATTTCGCAAAACATTTAGTTTCCTTGAAGACAACGGAGGAAAGAGAACGGATGATCAGGAGGCTCCAGGACGAACGAAAAGCTCTTGAAGCAGAAACATATTAACTATCCGTCAAAGACTAAAGCTTTAAAGCTCTCAGCGTTGATCATTCCCTGAAGGATGCGCCAGGCATTCAACTTCATTAGGCGTCGTTGAAGGTGATTGAATGCATATCCGGCCTTTACAGTGACTCAAGGTGGCTTACCGATGCATCGAGCCCGAACTGTTGTCCTCCCAGACAAGTCTGGTACCAATTTGCCGACCCTAGAGGGATGGCAGGCTTGGTGTGCCTTGGGTGCTGGAACTGATTCCACGTCTGTGTTGCACAGCGCCTTCGACCACTGCTCCATACGCCTCTTTACGGACTGATCAGGACCTGTGAAAGAATTTCAGCACAAAACTGAATAGACTACTTAACAGATGAGCTCACCGCAGTTGCCGAGTGTCTGGTCATCGCAATGCAGTATACAGTGGAGCTACCAACGCTTCCCAGGCTGAGCAACAAGATTCGAGCTCCTCAACCTCCATTCAAGCCTATGTAATAAGAGTAAACCCATGTCAAGACGGCTGTTCCGGTAGCAACTTAGTCAGTTGATGATGGATTCCACTCCGATCCAACAAGACCAGTTATACTCACTGAGGAAACCCTAAAGAGGATTCATTTTAAAATTCAATTTCATAGAGCGGAACCATCTGAGGCTCAAGCAGCATTCCAAAGTACGCACAGAAGCACATTTCATGTGCTAGACAGTATCACAGTCGACTTTCTACAAGCTGGTAGTTGACAACTACACGCATTTCTCGTTATTTATATGACATAATCTCCATTCATTCGTCTTTGTGATGAGACAGTGCTGGCGCTTGAGGACTACGCTCACATGGTTCACAACGAATGTCACGTTTGCAATATTATTCCAGTTTTACACCATTTTTGACAAGGAAGTAGCCAAGATTAGTTCGCAGTACTCTTTTCTAGCAAAAGCCTGTCTAGCATGTTTAATCGCTTTTCAACCTAAGTGGTCTTCTAGGAAAACGAAATCCACTGTTCGTCTCAGCTTGGAAATAAGCTACACCTCCAGGCTGTAGTGATAAAATAAAACAACGGCGGGGTATAAATGCTAGTGCAGTGCGCCGAAAGACAGTAAATGACTACTGACACTTCTAACTACTATATTTTGCAGCATATTTGAATCAATAGTTGAGAAGTAACGATATAGAAAGAAAGAGAATAAAAGATGAAGACGAAGATTTACGAGAAAATCTAAGAATAGAGGTTGACTGAGGAGAAGAGAAAAGAAAGATAGAAAGATTACGAAACCACTTAATTATGGGGGCGTCGAAATTTCTAAATATTCGAAAAATAAAAGATAATGTGGAATCCATGTTTTCATAGGAGTACGAGATCAACATCACTCCAAATGGTCTGAAAGTCTTTCAAATTTCGTTAAGTCCGAAATGTTGGAAGATCCACATTAAGGCACGAGTGCAAGTTGGTGAGACATTTTCATCAATAAAAATGAAAAAAAAAACACTGCAATTGGTATGAGCCGAAGGCTAGCAGTCCGTGAAAAATGGAGAATTTACATAGAAAATGTAATTTTAAAAAAATAGTTGTACATGAACACTTTGGATGGAACAGTCAATATCATCGCGATTATCCGAAGGTTGGCACACCTACCAGTTCGGTGGTTGTTCGCGTGTACTGGCACTTCAATACCAGATGAGCAAATAAATGAAAGAGAGATATTCTGACCAGTGCTCAGCACATGTGTGCTTTTCAATGGTGCTTGTGGATTGGCGATCCATCACCGCCCCCAAGCTGCTCCCAATGTGTTAGTTGTTCTAGTGTATAACCTCTGGGAACAAGTTCGTCTAGATAGCTCCATCATGTGACCAACACAGTGGTTCCTTTTTCACAGTGTGAGTATTCAGTCAATTTACCAATTTCTACAACTGAACTGAAAGCTGTATAAGAGATGTTAGGACAAGGAAACCACCCATTCTACAAGAATACCTCTATGAGTACCAGGCTGCTATAACTCGAACTGGAAATTTTAAACAGTCTGTCATCTCAAAAACCTTGCTGGACTATAGCACGCTTTCTATTTAATTGGCACATTATTGGTACATTATTGGAACCAAAATACTTCTTCTTTGGAATCATCGTCACCAATAACAGTCATAAGTCTTCCTGATAGGAAGGAAACTTGCTGTTTTCTGTCCGGATTTTCTGTCGGGTGACATAAATTCCTCGTACAGGTTTGCCACACTTAGTTGAGTTTCCGGATAGAAATTTCAAGCTTGTTTGTTGCCCTGGAGAAGAATCAGTTTG